TCCCCCCCCCCCCCGTCTCTGTCTCCCCACCCTCCTTTTTGTCTTCCACCTCTGCCCAGAATCTCCTTCCTCTGTTGAGCCCACCTGTCCCTTCCTCAGGGTGGCCTCTGCTGATGCTGCGGTCATCGTGTTCCCCTTAGCACTGTCCTCTTAAGCCGCGGGTGTCATTAAGCCTCCTCGTTCACGCAAGCAGAGGCTTGGAGCTGGAGGGGCCAGCGATGGCGGGGGAGGGGCAAGTCCACACCCTGCAAGGGCCTCGGCTGCCAGGGTGCCAGGAAGCCGGGTCAGGGCCTGGGAAGAGACCCATTCACCAGGCCTGCTGCCCCCCACCCAGGTTAAGGGCCCAGCTTTCCGAGAAGGGCCCACACCTCCGGCCTGGGGAGGGGCGGCACCTTGGAGCTGCCTTCCTGTGCGGCCTTTCCTGGCACCGAGGAAGGAGGGGGATGGGACCAAGGAAGTTAGACTCTGGGTTCGCACACTTGGGGCCCCCAGAGTCTCCGCTCCCCTCCCCTGCCCCCAGCGGCACCCCAGCCCCCACTCAGCTCCCCTCCCCTGCCCACCGGCCCCTGCTCTTAGGCCCCAGTTTCCACCTCTGACATTTAAGACGTTGAGAAGACAGACGGGCAGGGCTGGTGGTGCTTAGAAACAGCATGGCCTGGCGACTCCTCTCTTACACTGAAGTCAGGGAAACTGAGGCAGAGTCAGGCGGGGGTGGGGGGACAACCAGGACTCTCCATCCTTTTCCTCCCGCGTGCCCGCTGCACACTGGGTCTGGGGTCACAGCGGACGAGATCCCCCCCATTCCCAGTACAAAGGGGATGTGACATCAGCCACTTGACCTCGTTAAGGACTGCGAGGAAGTCAGGTTGGGGGGAAGCTGGCTGGGGAGCTTCCCACTCAGAAGGCGGCATCTGGGCAGAGAGCAGGGGAGGCTCATGCTAAGGGCCTGAGGCTGCCTGGTCCGGAGGCTGCCCAGTCTCATAGGCTCCAGCCACGGCCAGGAGTTGGGATTTTTCCCTCTGCCAGGGGAAGCCGTGGGGTGTCCACGTGCTGAGAGGGTGTTTCTAAATCCACTCTGGGTGCTGGGTGGGGAACGGCTGTGAAGGAAGCCAGGCTGAGGGGCCCAGAGGAAGGAGTGGATGGATTCCAGCGTTGGGAAGATGAGGTTCTCAGGCCTCGCCGATGTCCGCCGTGGGTCCCCTCCCCCAGGCTTCTCGTGGGGAGCCCAGACCCAAGTCGCTGTGTGGAACAGAGCACTGAGGCCCCATGCCCGGTGTCCCAGGCTCCCATCACGCCTGCCCGTTTGGCGGACGGGAGACAAGCTCAGAGATGGGTGGGCCTCGGCTCCACACCCTACAGCAAGCATCCTCACCCCTGACGGGACCCATCTTGCAAGCGGATTGCTCCGGGCGGTCCACCGCAGGAGACCAGCTGCGCGGCCGCGCAAGCTACCGGGGGAGGCTGCTCCCCACCGCCCCCGCGCGGCCGCTCCGGGCAGCGAGGGCTGAGACTCCCGCCACTGGGCGAGCCCGGCGCCAGCCCTGGGCCTGGCTCCGATTTCCATTCAATTGACCTCGACAGTCAGCCCCCTCCCGCCTCCATCTTCCGATATTCCGTCGCTAAAAGTGAAACCTGGAATCGGCCCAGACCCTCCGCCCGCGGGTTCTGACCTCGGCCTCCCCCGCCCCCATCTCTGGCCCCCAGTCCCTGCCTCTCTGTCGCCTCCAGGGTCGGGGGTCAGGGTGGGAAACCCCCTCGGGAAACCCCCGGGGAGCAGCCGGAGGAGGGGGAGGGGAAGCGGGGTCGCGGGGTCGCGGGGCCGGGGGCGGGGGGAGAAGGGGCCCGGGCCGCCAGTATTTAAGCCGCCTCCCCCGCGGGCGGCGGACAGAGCCGGGGACCGAGCATGGAGCAGGGCCTCGCCCTCCTGCTTCCCCTCTTTCTGGGGCTGCTGCAGCTGGGCCGCGGTGAGCGGGGCCGGGGTCTCCGAGCCGGGAAGGGGTTGGGAGAGAGGAGGGGCTCGGAGAGGGGCAGTGCGGAGGTTTGGGGAGGCGAGGGAGGATCCCCCACTGGAGGGCCTCGGAGGAGGGGGCTGGGGCTGAGAGCGCCGTCGCCCGCAGGTGGGCCGCTGGAGGTGGAGCCCCCCGAGCCCGAGGTGGCGGTGGCCGTGGGCGAGTCGCTACAGTTCACCTGCCGCCTGGCCTGCGAGGACGGCAGGGCGGCCTCGGTGCAGTGGCGAGGCCTGGACACCAGCCTGGGCGCCGTGCAGTCGGGCGCGGGTAGCAGCGTCCTCTCCGTGCTCAACGCCTCGCTGTCGGCTGCGGGGCCCCGCGTGTGCGTGGGCTCCTGCGGGGACGTCGCCTTCCAGCACATCGTGCAGCTCCTGGTGTTCGGTGAGCCCCCGCCCCTCCCGCCGCCGTGGCACGCGTGGGGCCCAGCCAGCGGCCCTGCTTTCCCTCTATCCTCGTGCCACCTCTGCCTGGGAGGCTTCCCGGATTGCCCAGCCCGCCCCAGCTCAAAGCCGGCCTCGCAGGTCCTCCTGAGTCGATCTGCAGCCCGCTCCCTCCTCCCCGCATCCCCTCTCCCCCAGTCCACTCCCAAACCTCCTGTACCTGACCCCCTTGCCCTTTCTGCGGGTGCGGCACGGGGTCTTCCCTGTCCCCGGGCACCAGCAGTCCCCACGCCCCCTCCTCAGAGCCCAGCCCTGACCCTCGGAGCTCTGCCCACCCCCTTCCTCCACTCCCTCCACAGCCTTCCCAGACCAACTGACTGTGGCCCCAGAGGCCCTGGTGGCTGGGCCGGACCAGGAGGTGTCCTGCACAGCCCACAACGTCACACCTGCTGGCCCTGACAACCTCTCCATGTCCCTGCTCCTGGGAGATCAGGAACTGGAGGGGCTGGAGGCCCTCCGGGATGTGATGGAGGAGCCCCAGGAAGGCGAGGACCCGCTGTTTCAAGTGACACAGCGCTGGCTGCTGCCTGCCTTGCAGACACCCACCCCACCCTTCCTCCACTGCCAGGCAACCATGAGGCTGCCCGGCTTGGAGCTGAGCCGCCGCCGGCCCATTCCAGGTGAGCCTGTGCCTCAGTGTCCCCCCAGGAAGTGGTTGAGGTCACACCACCCAGCGCCTGGGAGCCTTGATGAGTGGTGCCCAGCGGCTCTTATGGAATCCTGGTTAAGCCCCTCCCATGCTGTGTCGCCACCTGGGCAGGTCACAGTACCACAGCCGAGCAAAAATTGCATTTGATCTTTATTTTATTTTTTAATTAATTAATTTTGGCTGTGTTGGGTCTTTGTTGCTGTGCGCGGGCTAGTTGTGGCGCACGGGCTTAGTTGTTCCGCAGCATGTGGGATCCTCCCCGACCAGGGCTCGGACCCCTGTTCCCTGCGTTGGCAGGCGGATTCTTAACCTCTGCGCCGCCAGGGAAGTCCCTACATTCGATCTTCAGTGTGTCCCTTCGTGGCAGCCAGGGGTTACTTCTCACTCGTTCATTCACTCAGCTGATTTGCTGAGCACCTACCCTGAGCCAGGTCCCATGAGGTGCTGCCCTTCCTCTGCCCACAGCCCTCCTGGGCTCCCACCTCCCTTTGGGTGAAAGCCCAAGCTCCTCGTGCCCACGGAGCCCTACAGAGCCTGACCTGCTTGCCCCGTCCCCCACCCCCACCCCCTGCCTCACTTCCTCCCTCTGTCTCCCTCACTCAGTCTGCTGTTCCTCCGACACCCTAGGTGCAGTCCTGCCCCAGGGCCTTTGCACTGCTTGTTTCCTCTGCCCAGAAGATCTATCCCTTCCTTCCCAAGCTCTTCCTCCAGGTCTTGGCTCTAATGCCACCTCCTCAGAGAGGCCTTCCTGGCCACCTGGGCCAAAGTTCCTCCTCCTGAGGCACCCCCATCACCGTGCATGCGCTCTTCCCCACATCTCCCTCACCTCCCTCGGGTCTCCTTCCCAGTGAGACTTGCCCTGACCTCTCTGTCCAAGGGGTCAAACCCCACTCCCACCCCCACCACACAAACACACACACACACACACACACACACACACACTCAGGCCCTTTCTCTTCTCCTGTTGAATGTTTGTTGACACCTTTTTATCAACATCTGACTCCTGTGTGCTCTCTTTATTTTTTTTCCCATTAAATGTCTCCCCTGCCATTGGTTTCATTGAGATAGGAATGTGTCACTCTCATTCATGGCTGTTCCCCCAGTGGCTAAAACAGTGCTCAGCGCACAGTAGGTGTCCAATAGATACATCCTGAATGAATTAATCAAAAACTGTTATCACGGAGCCTGGCGCATAGTAGGTGCACAAGAAATGCTTGCTGAATGAACTAACGAATGGCAACATTTAACATGGGGCCTGGCACACAGTAGGTGCTCAGTTCATGTCAGATGTTATTAGTTTGTCTCATCTGGGACAGGCCCTGACCGCATCACCAAGCTTCTGGCAGCCTCTCACTAAGGAAGCACAGATTCGTTCTCTGAGAGGGCACCCCGATACTCATGTTAATGGCTGCGGCCTGGGGGCCGGGAACGGTTTGGCTCAAGTGGAAGCAGGGTGTGGGGGAAGGCAGGGGTGTGCTGGGAGGGTGTGCACAGAGTCCTCCGGATTTGAGAGCCGTCACACAGCAGAATGGACAGATCCTCTCTCGGGGCCTCAGTCTCTCATCTGCACCACAAGGGGGTGGGGCACCCCCTTCCCTCTCCCCACCCCTCAGCCCCATAATAATAAGGTCCAACACCCGTGTCACTCTGCACGCCAGCCCCTGGGGTGGGGGCCTCTCAGCTCACTTCCCAGTTGAGGAAAGTGGGACACGGAGATTTGGATGCTCGCCGGGGGGAGGGGCATGACAGACTCTGAGAGGGCTCCTGCCCACTAGCATACCCTGTGATTCACCCAAGTGAATGGACGGGGCTTGGAGCGGTTCTGGTCCAACCATGTGGTCCGGGTGGAGGGGGAGGGAAAAGGGGCTGGGCAGCAGCCAGAACAGACGGCGGCCGTGCTTTCCAGTCCTGCAGGGCCTGACCTCCCTGGAGCCCCCCGTCATGACCCCCCCCGAGCCCAGCACCACAGAGCCCCCGGAGCCCCCCATCACCACCTCCCCCGAGGCCACCCCAGAGCAGGCCTCCACCCGCAGCCCCAGGAGTCCTGGCCCCGAGCCCCGGAACAGCTCCACCAGGCCCTGCCGCCCGGAGATTCACCAGTTGTCAGCAGCAGGGGGCTTGGAGCTGCTGTGTGAGGTGGTCTGCAGCCCAGGTGTGGCCGTGCGCTGGACCCGGGCCCCTGGCGGGCTGGCGGCCTACAAGACGCAGGAGGTGGGGGCCCAGGCCTGGCTGAGCGGCGGGAGCATGCTGTGGGCCAGATGCCACGGTGAGGGCTGGTTCCAGTGTTGCCTGGACCCAGGGGGCCAGACGGCCAACCTGTACGTGGCCTCAGAAATCTGTGAGTTCAGGGGCTGGGGCGGGCGCTGGGGGAGCCTGAGAGGGAGGGGAGCCTTGCGTCTGGCCTTAGACAAGGGGGGCCCTGCCAGCCTGTGTCCCCAGCTGTCCAGTGGACTTCCGTGACCCTATAAGATCACAACTGCCTGCATGGCGATAACTAAGTTTCAGGGACTGTGTAGGTGTCACAGCACTCTACGGACTAAGACAGCTTGTGGAATAGAAACAGAAATAGAAGGGACTTCCATGGTGGTCCAGCAGTTAAGACTCCGTGCTTCCACTGCAGGGGGTGCAGGTTTGATCCTGGTCTGGAAACTAAGATCTGTGTGGTGTGGCCAAAAAAGAAAAAAAGGCCCGTGAGCCATGGCCACTGAGCCTGCGTGTCCGGAGCCTGTGCTCCTCAGTGGGAGAGGCCACAGCAGCGAGAGGCCCGCGTACGTGTACCGCTAAAAAAAAAAAAAAAAAAAAAAAATAGAATCCAGCCACTTTGGTAATTTCCATTTTTCTGGTAGCCACATTCAGGAATAAAAAGGTAAAAATAAGTTTGACAGTATATTTCATTGAACGCAATATATCTCAAACGTTATCATTTCAACATGTAATCTATAAAGAAGCATGAATGAGATTTTTTTTTTCCAAACTAAGCCTTCAGAATGCAATGTGTGTTTTACAAAGACAGCGCTGTCCACTCAGACTGATCACATTTCAAATGCAGCTGTGGTGAGTGGTCCCTCACTGGGCAGCTCACTTCTAACTACAGGGTCCTATGTACCTTTCAAAAGACTCACTCTAAAAATCGCTGGATAGTGCAGCGATTTTTATACATTTCAGAAGGCGTTATAAACCATGAAGTCCTTTGTAAAATTTCGGGGAACTCGGTCAGTCCGGGAGCCCTTAGCCGACTCTGCTGGGCCGCTCCCCAAACCTGCAGAGAGGTGCAAGACACCGTATGCCTCTCTCTCCAGGCTCCCCGCTAACGTCTGCATCCCTGTGGACGGGCAGCTTGGTGCTGGGGCTGCTTCTCCTGGTGTTCCTGACCTACCGCCTGTGGAAACGCTGCCGGCCCACCAGATGACCTGGGCCCCCTGCCCCGCCTGGACCACACGGAGGGGGATTTTCCTTCCACTCAGTTGCGACTAGAAGATGTTTGCAGGGTTCTGGACAGCAAGGGGGGCTGACCGTGGATCCCTTACCCTGATGGCCAGCACATCCAGGCTCCCCAGCTGGCTGGGCTTCCCTTCAGTGGGGACCCTGGGGAGCCGCCACCCCCACCCACGGTGCAGAGCTGGAGAATAAAGAGCATCTGGTCTGACCTCGGTGGTTCCTGTCACGGTCTGAGGACACGGGGAATCCCCGGCATAGCTCCAACCATCCTCTGCTCTAGGTGACTCCCCAGAGAGACAAGGAAGGACAGGACACCCCAGCCCCACGTGGCCAGGGGTGGGGGTAAGAGGCGTGAGCTCTGCCTGGTGCCTTTCCCTGCATATGGGGACACTGGCGCTTAATGAGCGACTAGGAGTCCTCAAAAGAAGCGGAGAAAAGTATTTGTTGGAGGACAGCACGGGCAAAGACACAGAAGAGAGGTGGCTTGTTAAGGGAAATTGCATCTCTCTTGGGGTGGCTGGAGGCTAAAGCGTGGGGAGAGGCGAGGGAGAGGCTGGAAACGATACCGGCAGATGAAGGGCTGTAGATGCCAGGGTCGTCAGCCTTGTGGAACCGAGGAGCTATGGGAGAGTTTAGAGCTACAGAGGATGCGGGGTGAGAAAGTTCCCTCTAGTGGTAAGGAAAGGTAACAGCCTGGGACGGGGAACTGGGGACCGTGGGTGGTCCACTCGCTCTGTGAACCCGTACAGCGGACTAGGGGCCGCGGAAGCGCAGACCAGACCCCTAACCCAGCCTGATGGGGAGAGGGGGCCTTTCCCCACGAGGTGAGCTACAAATTCGCACGGAGATTGGGTTAGGCTGCAGACCAGGCTGAGCACAAAGGCTCTGAGTTGAAAATCAGAAAAGGGGGCGGGAGCGGCGCTTAGGGAAGCAGCGCTTCCCTGGTAACCAATGAGACCGGTTGCTAGGGGACCATGCTAATGAAGGACTCGCCCACTACCAAGATGGCAAGCAATCCGGCTTCATACCAGAAACCAAGCCCTTCCTAGGGATCCATTTTGGAGTCTGGCAAAATTTAAGTTCCGGGCCTAAGCCAGGAAAGCCAACCAACACACCTAAAGAGGAAAACGGAGAGAGAGTAAGTGCCAATGAGAACCTAGGGAAAAGGGTGGCCTGCGCTGGTTATTTCCCAGAGTCTCCCCGCGGGATCCGGGCGCCCTCTGCCCTCAACAAAAATGGCCGCCCAGAGGTGCCAGCGCACTGTGAAATATGGACGTCCTTCCGGTCCCGCTGCCCTCAGCGAAGATGGCGGCAGTGGAGAAGCGGCGGCTGCCTGTGGCCCAGGCGGCCAATTTCACAGGCAGCGGCCGGCCAGGGGTGTCCCGAGCAGCGGCGACGGCCGAGAGTGAGGAGGACTTCCTGCGGCAGGTCGGAGTGACGGAGATGCTGCGCGCGGCCCTGCTGAAGGTGCTGGAGGCGCGACCCGAGGAGCCCATCGCCTTCTTGGCGCACTACTTCGAGAACATGGACCTGCGGTCTCCTGCAAACGGCGGCGCCGGGGAGCCCCCGGGCCAGCTCCTGCTGCAGCAGCAGCGCCTGGGCCGCGCGCTGTGGCACCTTCGCCTGGCTCACCACTCCCAGAGGTGCGGGGCTGGGCCGGGCCTGGGTGGGTAGGGGCCGCGGCCGGACTTCAACTCCCAGCGGGTTCCGCGCGGCTCCCCGCCCCCGGCGCCGGCTCTCGAGCGCGGGGCGTGGTGGGAACTGTAGTCCGCTCTGCCTGGTGCGGGAGGGGCGCGGATGGCTCCGGGCTGCGGGGCCCCGGCGGGGCCACCCGAGTGCTGGCGCCGGTAGCTCTGGCAGACTTGGGTTTTGGTGATGCCTCTTTGCAGGTGCCGAGGTCCCCCTTGAATCTACCTCACTTTTGAAAATCATGGAGCCCAGACAGGACTTGGCCAAGACCGCAGAGCAAGTCCTCCGAGCCAGGCCCCTCCTAGCTGCCTCGTTCCCAGCGTGGTAGCATCCTCGTCCATTCAGCCAGAAAATGAATATTTACAGGGCTGGGCCGTGGAGATAGAGAGCAATCCAGGACCCCCGCGGGCAGGAGAGACGTCCAGTAAGGGGCCTGCATTGACACACAGGGAAAGGTGTTGCAGGCACGAGGCCACCGGCTGCACTGGCCTGGAGGCTGTGGGGCTGCAGTGCGCGACCCACGGGGGAGGGGGAGGCCGGGAGCCTTCGCAGGGCTGAAGCATGGAGGGGTGGAGGGGATGGCGCCTGCCCCCCCACCCCCACCCCCTTAGAAGCGGGTGAGGGAATGGTCCGTGTCAGGTGGCTGGGGAGGAGCTGTTTGACGCGCAGCATTAACCAGACAAGGTGGGCGCTGGATGTGGGTGGGCTGGGTCTTGGTTGGGGGTGGTCCCCAGAGAGCCCAGGAAGCCAAGCAAGGGAGCATTTCAGCCTGACCCCAGCACCCTCCTGCCTGGGGGCAGCCCTCCCGAGAGAGTCAAGGTGCGGACCCCAAGCAGGGGAGCACAGAGAGGCTGGGAGGCAGCCGGGTGTGGGAAGGGATGTGGAGAACGGGCATCCCATTCGGAGCACCCGGTCTCCACCGCAAGGGAAGGGCAAGGGGGTTGTCCAAAGTGACAGCCAGAAAAGGGAACGGCCGGGGCCACCCCTGAGATGGGGACCTGGCGGGGAGCGGGCTGATGGGCATCCCTGGGTTCTGCTGGGTCTTCAGGGGGTTGTGCAGGAACAGCCCCAGGTGGTCCATGAGATGGGAGGTCACTGGTTTGGGGGAAGTTTCCACAGTGACTTGGGGACCGTTAAGTTGGGAGCTGGGAAGACCCTGAAGCAGGAAGGTGGACAGTTGGGTCGGTAGCTGAGACGTGTGATGGTGCAGGGTGGTTGTCGCCTGGTGGCGGAGGGGTGGTTGTGAAGGCCTCAGGGGAGCTGAGAAGAGCGCAGCACCCGATTCTGAGGAGCCACAGTCTCAGCGAACCCACAGGAAAGCGTGAGAAGGCAGAACAGACATGGAGGGAACCAGAAGACAGGGAACCAGGCCATCTTCCGAGGGGGAGAAGAGTCAGCGGCAGGGTCACCACGTGCAGTCGTTCGGGTCGAGCACTGCACAAGCCGTTCACTCCATAGACGTCACAAACGAGGACCTTTATGCGAAGGCTTTTTGCAGAGCTTTGCCTAGTTTATGCAAAGGCGCCTTGCGGGCTGGCGGCGGCCCTGCGTCCAATGGCCCTAGAGATGAGGGCTGAGAAGCGTCTGTTGGATTTAGAACCAAGGGGGCCATTTGAGTGTCCTGGGGTTGCTGTAATCCATTACCACAAACTTGGTGACTTAAAACAACAGAAATTTATTCTCTCACAGTTCTGGAGGCCAAAGTCCGAAGTCCGGGGGCATCAGGGCTGTGCCGTCTCTGGAGGCTATAGGGGAAGGTCCTTCCTGCCTCTTCCAGCTTCTGGAAGCGCCAAGCGTCCTTGGCTTGTGGCTGCATACTCGCAACCTCTGCCTTGTCTTCCCATGGCTTCTCTTCTGTGTCACTCTCTCAAAAGGACACTTGGCATTTGTTTTAAGGCTACCTCGCCCCACCTCCAGACCCTGAACTAATTACATCTTTCAAAGACCCTATTTCCAAATAAGGTCACACTCACAGGTTCCGGGTGGACGTGCACCTGGGGGGACACTATTCACCATACTGAAGGGGTGTTGGAGCGGTTCTCAGGAGGAGCAGAGTGAGTGGCCGGTGCTGGTGGCGCACCTGGTCTCCCAGGTGCTGAACTCAGAGATACGTTCCCAGTCAGGAGCCCCATAACCTTGGCTGCCGGGTCAGAAGCAGAAGCCAGGCCAGGCGGTTCCCCCCGAGGCTGGGCAGCTTCGTCCCTATGCTGAGGGGTGGGCTGGGGAATTCCGGGGCTGCCCTTGAGAGTGACCTCAGCACGAAAGATCTGGGGAGAACTCAACCAAAATCCCCTCTACTGTTGTCTCGAAATCACACGTGCTGGCTGCTAGGACTGGTGACGGCCCTCAGAGCACAAACACAGCAGACCGGCATGGTGGCCCAGGGCCGCCTTCTAAGCTGCCACGTGCTAATAGGAACAGCAAGAGTGCCAACCGCTGCACGTCCCCGTGGCCCCAGAAAACATGCAAAAGCACCAAAGGGTCTGAGCCAGTCTCCTCGGCTCCGAGCATCCTCTGTGGGGTGTCCCAGGCTCTGTGAGGTGTGGAGCAGCCTCCCTGCCCCCACCCACTCGATACCGGGAGCCCTCCCCATTGTGACAAGCACAGACGTCCTCAGACATCACCCAGTGTCCCCTGGGAGCAGAATCTCCCCAGACAAGACCTGCCAGATTATGGGATTCCACGGACCCCCCAGGAGACTACGTCCCGTGACCGTCTGACCTCTGAGGTCTGGGATGCTGCACACATTTAAATACACACGTGAGTGGGAGGGAGGGGAGGTGACCCACAGACACTGGGGGCCACCCTGGTTCACACCGCCTGACTCAGTGGGAGTGTATGCAGGCCTCTGGTGTGAGCAGGGAGAGGACCCAGTTTCTTTCCAAACAATTAACCAGAGTCACTCCTCAGCGCTGCTAACACAGGGGGAGCGCGGTCACTCTGTGCGGTGCAGCGCCACCCAGTGGTGGCAACCATAACTGTCCCCAGAGTCACCAGTGTCCCCTGGGGGCAGAGTCACCCCGTTGAGAGCCCCCGGTCTACCTTGGAAAGTCTCCATGTCTCTGTGACAAGACCCATAAATAGGTTCTTTTTTAACAAATGCCCACACGCTTTGCAAACTGCTCCGTGTGGGAGCTGACACAGGCAGAGCCTGAGGACCAGAGCCCAGGACGGCAGACGGTGTGGGTGCTCCCTCATAGCTGGGGCCCCCGGGAGGGCGGCCTCGAGATGGGGTGTGGCTTTCCTCTGGCTTCTTGCCTGACGCTCTCATCTCACTGGACCGTAACTGCCCCCCCTGTGCGTCTTCCTGCCCGCGAGGCCCACGGTAAACAGAACCTGGACAGCGCTGAGTGGCAGCTGGTGACAGCTAATGACAGGCGCACGCAGTCCCCTGCCACACGCCAGGCACAAAATCTTACCCTCTGTCCTCCCAAGAATCCTGAGACGCAAGGACTAGAACCCTTATTCTCCAGAGGAGGGAAGCAGGGCGCAGTGGCTAGAACCGGTGCACGTCTGGGCCAGCCAGGAAGAGCTCTGAGCACACAGGGTGCTCAGGGGTCCCCACACGCCGCCGCCTCCAGGGGGATTGATTCAGCTCAAGACAACTAGTGGGTCGACCAGGTTCCTTGGGGAGGCATCAGGCAGAGCTGGGCGGATGGTGGACGCTCAGGCCCCATCAGGACGAGCCATCAGCCCACAGGGACACACCCGAAACCTCAGTGGCCTCACACGGCTGCTGTTGGGTTGGCAGGGGCTCTGCTCACTCAGGCTTGCGGAGAGTGGACCCTCCACGGGAAGTGGGCCATGCTCTCGTAGGGATGGGGCGGCCTGCCTTCAAGACGCCCCCGAGATCCACACACACACACCCCCGTATTCACACCCTCGGGCAGCTGCCTGCGTTGCCACCCCGCCGGTCACCCGCTCCAGGGGCCAGTGCCGTGACCTTAGCACACTCACACTGCCCCGTGGGGAGAGGCCTCCGCAGGGAGCCTTCAGGGGACAGCAGCCCTGCCAGGGTCCTGGTTGAAGACTGAGCTGGGACCACCAAGCCAAGCCATTCCCAGTTCCTGACTTAGGCTGCGACGTGGTCTAGGTGTGGGGGTAACTGCCACGCGGCCACAGAGTTGACACAGGCATCATCACTGCCAGGTCCCCCGGACCCACTCGTCCTGGTGAAAGGAGCTGATAACAAACGCTCCCGCAAGGGGTTATTGTGAGGCGGCAGCAGCTGACACGGTGCCAGTCCTGGGAACGGGAGCATGACGCTGCGTCTGGCACCCCCAGCGCTTCACGGAGTGATCTCACTGACCCTAAAGCGCCAGTACATCCTAAGGACCCGAGAAGTGAGAAGTGAATCCCAGATGGGCGAGACCCCAGGTCCTCCCCCTCCCCTCTGGGCCTCAGTTCCTCCTCTGTAAAGGGCCTTGACCCACGGAGCTCACTGGGTGAGCATGTCCATCCCTGGGCCCTGCCATGCTCCAGCCCAGCGTGGGCCAGGCTCGCACCCACGCTGACCCGTACAGGTCCCACAGATAAGAGTGGAGCTGGGCTCCCAGAAAATGCGAATGTGAGCCCTGGGGGTGCCCCTTCCTCTGTGGGACCCTTGGCCTGGCCGCTGCCCTGAGCCTCACTTCCCCTTTGCTTTAGTGGAGATGGAACTGGGCCTCGGCCGGCCGCCAGCTGTTGAGAGGAGAATGGGAATGAGACCCGGGTTATCTAGATGCCCAGGCTCACCCCAGCCCACTCACTTAACCACTTGTGAGGCTCCAGGGCGGCCAGGGCTCGTGGCGGGACATCAGGGTCCTCGTGGGGCAGGCGGTAAGTAGTGTCAGCGCCGTGGCTGGTCCCTGACGTGACCGTCGGGTCTGCTGTTGCAGCAGAAGGGCAGCATGTCTGGGTTGACGTGGCCGCCTGCGGATAAATCTTTACCCACAAAGACAGGTGGCAGTGGCTTTGAGCCACAGTGTGGGTTACTGCCTCTGGGCCTGCAGGGGTGAAAAGAGGCAACCCAGTTAAAAGGTAGGGATGTGTCCTGCCACAGTGACACCCCGTGGGCACACACATCATCGATGGAATGGAGAGTCCACGGGCGGATGCCCATCGTCGGAGTCAGCAGACGTTTCTGGGGCTCCTGGTCAGTGTTCTGGGCGCTGGGGCTGTAACAGTGACCAACAGATAAACTCCCTGACATAGGCCCCTGGGCTGAGCTGGTGGGAGGGAGGGAACTCGTGAGGATACCACAAAGAGAAGTACAGGAAGGGGTTAGGGGGTCAGGGAGGGTCCCCCC